TGGGGGGAGAGAGAGAGAGAGAGAGAGAGAGAGAGAGAGAGAGAGAGAGAGAGAGAGAGAGAGAGAGAGAGAGAGAGAGAGAGAGAGAGAGACATTTGCTCTCCTCCTTTCTGTGCGTTGCTGTTGTCTGGTCTGATGTGGATTAGGTATGCAGGGCTCGTTGTGGGCTGGTTGATTGATCTCTTCTACTGCACATAGGTAACTTTTGCAGGCTTGGAGATCCATTGCGGTTCATCTGGAGGTTTTTCTACTTCTTTTCTTTTTCGTGGTTTGTTCTGTGAGGCCAGTCCTGTACTGGACATTCGATTTATAAGCCGTTGAAGGCAAATTATTGGCAGCTTGTATGGCGAGTCCAGAATCCCTATTGATGGAGGCTTTGAGGGTTTGTTTCAGCATATTTTTTGACGCGTACCTGCGGTCTCCAGCTATCCTCGCAAGATGTTCTTCGATGCGCCTTATTTATTCTCAGCGGAAGCTAGGTGCTATTGATAGTGCCAGCTTTGTGTGTTACACTACTGGGTATCGTGTTTTGAAGTTCTCGGTTCCGACATGGTTTATATATCTGCATTATGAAGAGTCAAGTGCAGTGCACGTCAAGGGGAGGTTGGGCAACCTCTCATACTGCAGACAGAGAACTTTCTTGGAGATTCTTTGACCCTCATGTGGAGGATGTTGTTTTTGTTTTTCACCTTTTCCCAGGCTGTGGTGCAAGGCGAGTCCTGTTGCGGACATTTGACACGTTAGACACGTTGAAGATTCAAAATTTCTGTAGCTGGCATGTGGTCGAGTCCAGTGTCCCCGTTCATTGAGGCTTTGATCGATTGGTTAGACTCCTGGGATCGCAGGTTTTTTTTTTTAATCGTACCTGCTTTTGCCAGCTGTCCTCTCTAGCTGTTCCTCTATGCGCCGCCTTTTCGGTTGAAGGCGGGTGCTTTTGCCGAGGCCATCTGTTTGTGTTCTATACTACTGGGTATCATTTTTTTCAGGTTCGGATAAGAACCTGGTTTCAATAAATGCATTTTGCGGAGTCAGTTCAGTCGTATCGAGAGTTGGGACAAGAGTTGCTTCCTTTTATTTAGCCCGGGCGCCAGGCGTCTCCCATACATGTAATTGGCCTAGTGATTGGGATTTTGCATGTTGGCAGTCTTTTTGCTAATAATGCTTGTTGTGTCCTGCTGACCTTGTTCTCCTCGCTGGAGTTTGGATGCAAGTTGTTTCCGTGGGCCCCTCGGAGCTGATAAATCGTCCTCCGTGCATGTAATTGGGCCTCGTATTGGGTGCTTTGCGTGCTGCCAGCCGTTTGCTAATAATGCTGCGCTTGTGCCTTGCTGGCATCGCTCTCCCAGTTTTGTTTTCCTGCTTTCTCCCCTTGTTGGCTGCTGAGCCATGCTATCCAACCGCGTGGTTGGAGACGCCCAGATTCACGTACTCTAGACGGAGATGAACGCCTAGTCGTGAAAGGGGGTCGGCGGGAAGTACAAACCCTAGCGTGTAATAGGCCCAGTATTGGGTATTTTGCATGCGGCCATGCATTTGGTGATAATGCTGCTTGTAACACACTGATATCTCTCTCCCTACCTTTGTTTTCCTGCTTGCTGGCCTTGTTGGCTGAGTGCCTTCTTTGCTGGCCCCCACCTTTCATCCATGTTGCTGGCGTTGGTGGGTGATCCTGTGCCAAATTTGAACTTTCCGTCCATTTTCTTGCTTGCTGGCCTTCCTGCGCTTGGGTACGAGCGCTCACTACTGAACAGCTTGGTGGCTGCTGGAGGTATTGTTCAGAACAGCGCTTTGCGGCGAGCGCAAGGGAGGAGTTGTATGTTATTTATTTCCTTGTTGTGATTTTGTCCTTGTTACGATCAGCTTACCCACTTCCAGTCCGTGGATTGGAGCTGTTGACATTGGAGACATTCATTTTTGGGGTGAGGACTGGCCTCTCTGCTTGGTCTTTGTTATGATCAGCATGTCCGTGTTTGCTAAGTGATAAGGATGTCCTGGTTTGGTCGTTGTTGCGATCAGTTTACCCCCTCCTGATGGGCCGTGTGTAGCTGTTGCAATTGGAGGCAGGCATTCATTCATTTTCAGGGCGAGTACTGGCGTTCCTGCTGTGTTTTGGTCGGTCTTTGTCACGATCAGCGCTTGGGGGTTTTGTGAACTGCCAGCCACTTTGAAGTGGTTGGCGGTGGAGACACTCGTTTTCGTTGCTATGCTTTCTCTCTCGTTCTCCGGGTGTGTAGGGTTGTTAGTCCTTCACCACCTATCTGATGATTAATAAGGGTGAGGATAGCTGTAGTCTTTCTTCCCAGCCCCTTTCGCATGATAGGAACGGTGGCGTTCGGCTAGCTGGTTGGGGCTGTTCGTCTTTTTTGCTTTCGCCCGAGCCCTCGACTTTATTTTCTGTTAGTTCGCATGTAAGGTTACATTCTTATTTACCGACTTATTTGCCGGTGAATCCGTCGACCGCTGCACCTTGCTGTTAGCTATAAGTGGTACACACTTCTAGGAACTGATCTATGAGTTGAGAGTTCAATCTTCAAACTCGTCTGTCGGGCGGGGATACAAAAGGATTATTTAATTACGTCAATTTATTTGCTGATGCAAAAAGGTTATGCAGTTATTTTTTCAAATGTATTTGTCATTTGCCCTGGCTTTCGGTGTATGCTGCATCTATCATGTCGAGACGATAAGCTGAAGCTGTGGCATGAGTGAGGGCGAGGTTCCGATTTGCGGGATCTAGTTCACTGAAGGCATACTCACACTGCCGTCTTGTGTTCACCCAAATACAACGTACGGTTATTACAGCCGTATTTGGCTCACCTGTTAGTCCAGATGCAGCAGAAATGACCATACGTTCTATTCGGGTGAAGAGGAAGGTAAGCACTTTTTTTGTAAATGCATCCGACTGCACTTACGACCGGACCTGGATGAGTCTGATGACTGCAATCATGTTCCAGAGCTAAGTGGAAAAAGTCCTACTGTCTTCAGGCAAACAAAGCGCCCGGTCATTATCGCTGTATCTGGTCTGAAAGTTGCCCCAAATACGGCCCGATAATGACGGGGCGTGCTATTCGGGTGAAGATGGTAGTGTGTGTGTTGCCCTGAAAGCTTGTTGGGATGAAAAGGGAAACGGGGCCCCTCGCTTCATGACTTAACATTTGACATGTATCTGGACGGTCATTATGAATCAGATTTATTGCGACTGATTGGACATTTTGAATGTATAGGGGCTCTATGACCAAGTCCAGATACCTAGAGAATAGCCATCGCTTCAGTAGTCAACATTCGATGTGTATGCGGACTGGACTTTCCATCAGATGCATTCAGATCGATGGAAGATTTTGAATGTATAGGGATGGCTTTCAGTGTCAGATGCATTTTGAATGTTGTGTCCTGGAGCGAGGCCCAATGTGGTGCAACGGAGCAAAATCAAAAGGTCTGTTCGGCTGGGTTCTTGTTCAGCAAGCAAGTTTTCCGTTCTCTTTGCTGGGCGGTTGTTGTCCCTCGTCAGCTTCTCTGCGGGCCTTGCGCATGGCACGTGAATTGAAGAAGAAACGAGTGCATCTACCCACGGAATGTTGCAAAATGCATTCGTTGTGTATTGCAGTAAACGGACGTATGATTCTATTGTCCTCAGGAAGATGCATTCATTTCGTTTTCCGTTTCGTGTTTCATGTGGCATGCGGCAATGCCCCGTCTCTCATATGCTTGTGTCAATCATTGTCCTGCACCAGCCAGATCCCTTCCCTCCTGCCTCACCCTTTAAAACCACCAGTACGGTTCCCAGCCAGTCCCTTCTTTTTTTTTTTTTTGAAATTCCCAGCCAGTTCTAAGACCTGCTGTGTGAAAAAAAAAAAAAAAGATGTGTGCTGCATGCAAACACATTGGGCGGGATGAACCTGGGTGGCGTTTGGCTGGAAATCCATTCAGGCAAAATGGGTTGTGGTTGGATTTCCAGCTAAACGCCACATGGGCAGATCACGCCCGAGGGGCTTTCACACACGATGCGCCATAGAAAAAAGGCTGGGAACCGGTGCTCATGGGTTCAAGTGCTCTAGCCCCTGGCCTTGTTGTATTCAATGAGGATAATGGAATCGTGCGGGCTTGCTCCACTGCGCAGCATTCTTACTGTATGTGGCACAAATAATGGTCATGATGCATTCAAATGTTGGTTCAATCCGAATGTATCTGGGTCACGGCACATGAAGAATGTTGTGTAGTGAAGTGAGGCCGATGTTCTATTTATCGAAAGTTAAAAGGTGTGTACCATTCAGGGCCTAGTTGCACCACTCGCCATCCGCCAATATTTTGAATGCATCTGCAGATTTATGTTGTGCAGATGCATTCAAAATCTTGGCGGATGGTGAGCGGTGCAACTAGGCCCTCAGCCAACCGGTGGGTGCGTAGCATCCAGTGCAAACGTCAGCATCAATCTGTTGTTCTTCTTCCTTGTACTACTATTTGTTCTTTTGACTTTGAGGACATGCTTACGCTAGGACGTCATGCACCTGCATCTGGCTATAAAATAGGGATTATACAATTATTATTATAATTATTATTTTTTTACAAGATTATACAATTATCATGCTAGGTTACCAGCCTGGATGTCCGACGCCTATTTCTGTTCCAGGTTGTCCGATCGGAGAACTGCCCCGGTCTACGGGGCCCAGTGTCCGGGCTGGTTGAAAAATCAGCTCTGGGTCTGATCGGGTTTTTGGGCCTGCGGTGATGTGGTTTGGGGTGCATAGTACCCCCGGGAAGGTTGGGCGATTATCGTGAGGCCGCTACGGCGTCTGATAATGAAAACGAAAATGGCCTGGTCTGGGCCGTCAAATCTAAGAGATCTACGCCCAGATCGGGCCAAATTCGAATTCGAACTCAGCCCCCGACTGCCGTTTGTGCGCCGTTTGCCCGCGCACGACTTGGGCATGTCGTGGCAGTTGGACGTTGCCAAAATCGCGTGGCAACGGCCACGAACCAACACGTGTTCCAACCCCCGTACAGGTCCGTGTCCTCCTCCTTCCTCCTCCATGTCTCTCTCATCCCTCTCCTCCTCCTCCTTTCCCTCCTCTTCCTCCTCCTCCTCCTTTCCCTGCATCTCTTCCTCCTCCTCCTCCTTTCCGTCCACTTCCTTGTGTTTCCCCTCCTCCTCCTCCTCATCTTTTTGCTCCTCCTCGTCCATCATCGCCACCCTCCTCGAGGCCGGGGTCCTCACAGTCTACCCGGAGTGACCGAACCAAACATGCTGAGAACCGGGCTCAGCGTCCCTCATCTGATGATGATGATGATGATGATGCTAATAATGCTGATGCTGCTGATGATGAACTTCTACAGATTCTATGAAATCTATGAGATAGTAGTTCCAATGCTAATAGTGATGATGATGATGATGATGATGATGATGATGATGATGATAATGATGATTAGTATGAAAAAGACTGTGCTATATCAGCAATTCTAGCCTCCCTTTTTTCTTCTTCATGAGAGATGATGAGAAAACTACAATTGCTAAACACCCCTGAAATCCACAGCAGTTTTCCAAACACTCAAGTATCTAAGGGATTTCCAACAGAKCATAACAAAGCTCACCAAAACTGACTTATTCTCTGACAAGCTCATCCAGGCCTCGCGCCGCCTAACTGCTAGGTTACAGAGCAACGCGACTCACTCCAACTCCTGCCAGTGTCGTTCTGTGTCAGCAACCCCCAGTTGTCCGTTAGGATGCCCCCTGCATAGCATCCCCAGATCTCTCTGCCCTCACCATCGGCAAGTTACAGGGCATCACCCCGGCTCGTCCTCGTCCAAGTCCTCCTCCATCACCACGGCGTTCGAATTTGCCTCCATCGCCACAGTCCCTTGTATCTTCTCTCTTTCCTCCTCCTCCTCCTCTTCGTGTTCTTCCTCCTCGTTGTCCTCCTCCTCTTCATCCTTTTCTTCTCGTTGTCCTCCTCCTCGTTGCTCTCCTTCTCGTTGTCCTCCTCCTCTTCATCCTTTTCTTCTTCTTCGTCGTCGTCGTCGTCCTCCTCCTCCTCCTCCTCTTCCTGCTCTTCTTCTTCTTCCTCCTCCTCCTTGCCCATCATCGCAGTGTCCCGATTTGTGTTCATCGCTGCGGCCCACTCCTGCTCCCCTTCCTCCTCCGCCGCGTCCTCTTCCTCGTCGTTGTTGTTGCCATCCTCCTCCTCGTCCTCCCCGTATTCTTCCTCTTCTTCTTCCTCCTCCTCCGCCGCTTCCTCTTCTTCTTCATCCTCCTTTATCCTCCTCCTCCTTGTGTTCTTCTTCATCATCCTCCTTGTCGTCCTCGTCGTCATCACCCTCCTCCGCTTTCAATGCCTCCCCGTCCTCCTCCCCGTCCTTCTTGTCCTCCTCCTCATCCTGTCCCCGGTGGTGTTGCAATCCCTCCCCGCCCAAGTCCCCATATTCCCTTCTCGGCATCGTCCTCTAGGTCATCGTGTATACTCCCCTCCCCGCTTTTTTTTGTTTTTCAATCGATCAATCAATCCATCCAATATATTTTCAAGATCCAATCCAATCTATTGTTTGGATCGGATTTTGATTGATTGATTGAATATATGTCTTTTCAAGATCCCATTCAATCTATTGATTGATTGATTGATTGATTGATTGATTGATTGATCGATTGCACACGTGTGTGGAAACTAGTGTGTGTGTATGTGTGTGTGTAGATAGTGTATGTGTGTGTGCTTGTGTGTGTAGACACTTGCAGCAGATGCAGCCCTAGGCGTTCCACAACACTTTCCACCCCCTTCCCCATATCCCCAGCACTGTTTTCCTCTTTTTTTCTTTTTTTGCGCTCCGAATGGCCTCAAAATTGTTTTGGGGGGTCCTCTGGTGGTGCGCAGCCGCCCCTCCCCCTTTTTCTTTTTTTCTTTGCTTTCCAGATTTGAAAAAAAAGACTTGTCCGGGATCCCGGACCCGGACAACTCTGCACAGGATGTCCGCCCAGGATGTCCGGCCATCGGACAACTGGCCAGCTGGCAGCCTAGCAATTATGTACATATACCCGCCGGGGCTATTCTGGTGGACATCTGCTCTTCCTCCTCCTTCCCCCCGTACTCCTCCATCCTCCTACCTGCTGTTCCTACTCCACGTTCTCAGCGACTTCCCCGTCCCCTTCTTCCCCGGCCACCTCGTCCCCCTCTGCTGCGTTTTCCTCCTCCTGCCATCAACGTGGCCCGGCGAAAGAAAAAGGAAACTAGGCCTCCTCCTGATTTCGGACCATGGGCTTCTCTCCTGTATGCCTGGCCCCATGAAATTCACGAACTTCATTTATGATAGTTCCATCTGGATTCGAACTCGTGCCTGCACGGTTCCGGGGTGTACCATCCGAGCTACTGTCTTCACCCGAAGACAATGCCCGGGCATTATTGTTGTACCTAGACTGAAAGTTGAACCAGATACGGCTGTAATGACGAGGTGTTCTATTCGGGTGAAGACGGTAGGCCCGTTGGTGTGACCCAGATTCGACCTGTGGTGTGTGGTTGCCACTTGTAAATCGAACACCCGTCGGACAGCGGGTGCCAGCAATGGCTGAGAACAATCATGAAATGCACCTCTCCACATATGCGCCCACATACAGAATGGCCGACAGAAATCAAACGAACCATGTCAACCACAAAACCAAGCAGAGAGAACGCACGCCCACATATACGCCCACGTACCGAACCGTCGGGAAATGCACTTCTCCACATATTACTCTCACAGAAACACCATGCGAATCCCGCCAGTGCGTGCGGAAAGGACAAAACCAAGCAAACGGAACCATCGTGAAATGCGCGATGCACGCGCCCACGTACCGAACCGTTGCAAAACCAACTGCAATTGTGGCCTGACCTGCGTGTACCTGACAGAAATTGCGTCCAGAAGTAAGTGAAAAAGTCCTACTGTGATGTGAGTATGGGCCTCATGGCACTGCTCACCAAACACGACAACGACAATCGTTCGTTAGTTCTCAGGAAGGTGGCGAGGCCTCGAAAACTCGCCAAACTGAGGCATCGCTGTACCGTCTCACCGAACTGCTTGTCTCAGAGAGTCTTGTTGCGACAGGTCGGATGAAGACAGTAGAGGAAACAGAAAACAGATCCAGACTGCACACAGATGGTCTGGACAGGTAGGGATACACCACTATGGAGGCCGGCCGAGAGGTTCTACCAAAAGTCGATGTAGCAGGCGGGCACTCTTGGCCGGGTTGATGTGTCCTCACCCATGCGAAACTCCAGGGCTTAGGACAAATCTCGTTTGAAAAGTGATTTGCGGGGGGTTGCGGTCACTTTCTCTCAGTGTCCAATTGGGCCGCTATGTGGGCAGCTCGCGCTCAACTGACATCAGCTTCTCGAGCCTTGTATGTGAGAGGTACAGTAAAAGAGCGAGCTAGAAGAAGAAACGGAAGAGAAACTACAAAAAAAGCCAAAGGACAGAAATGGCCTATCTCGGTTGGTACGCCAATGAACTGTTGGCGGACAGACCTGTGTTCGCCGAGGTGAATGGCAATTCTGAATTGCCTGGGGCCAATGAGTTCGATGAGGATATCTCAGGGCCATATTTTGTTATTTTTTTTGGAAAAAGAAAAAGAAGAAAGAACTGCTCAGCAGAAGGCGAAAGAACGGGCTCAGTGTGCTCGGGGTTGTCTGCCATTTCCTTCGCTTGATTCACTGCTCCAATCTATTCGTGGGGAGCTGCACGTGCTGGGAACCGGGCCCAGCGTCCCATTCAAGATCATATTGAAAAAATGAATTCATTATCCGTAAATTAACATACATGAAATGATGGAGAGGGATTCGAACCCCCGATATTTTGTAATATGTCAGTTTTCAAGACTGATACTGAGAAATTTATAGAGAGATCCTTGAGATACTGAGGCCATTACCCGGCTTCGGCTAAGAAAACAACTGTGTAATCTACGTAATAAAAAAAAAAGAACACTAAGTTTCTCTGTCCCCCAAAGCTCGGATCAAAGAAGCATTCAGAACGAAAAAAACCACCTGCCTTAGGGCCTTTCAGTAGCCTAACCCTACCTCCCTCACCCCTATATCCTGATGCCCAATCTCTACCAGACCTCATGCTCCCAACTGCTAGGTTACACAGTGGCGCGACCCAACCCAGAAACCCCCCACCTGCTAGGCCACAGGGCAAAGCGACCCGCCCCAGCTCCGGCCAGCATTGGCTAGGCACCATCTCACCAAAAGACACTAGAGTGCCTTCCACCCTCGACAACTCCCCAGATCTCTCTACCAGGTCTCATGCCCTCGTACAGCTCGAGTTACAGGGCAGCGCGACCAAGCCCCAGCACCGGCCAGCGTCGTTCTGGCTTCGTCCATCCGCAAACCACTGGGACTCGGGACTAAAGGCAAATACCAGTCGAGCCACCAATCAGCACCATAGCTGTAGATCTCCTCATTCATCTCCTTCATGCACTGGTTGCAGTTATCCCCCCAAAAAACCCTCTAAGCCCTACTCCGGCAAGTCTTACCACGATGAAGCCACCATCTACACCGCTTTTGTACCCTATTTCAAACCTACAGGCTAGCCCCTTCGCCGCAGAGCGCGTCATCTCCTGCGGAACCCCCTGCCTCCAGCACCAAACCTTGGAAGCATTTTTCAACTAGGAAAACAAGAAATCAAGAAATTTGAAAAATCACATGAACATTTCACTGATTTCAGGGCCCACCATTCCCACAGGAAGAGGGGAAGAGAGGGAGAAACCATCCTCTCTCCCCACGGAAACCCTGGCGCCTATTGAAGTCTCAGTTACATGTAAAGGGGTCACAAGAACCAAAGGGATTACTCTTCTCCCCCTAAAAACAACCCCCTGTCTGTTCACTGCCTCCGCAGGAGGTGCCCCCTCACCTCCCAGCCCCAGTTCAGAACAGCCCGCAGAATACCACTCCTGCTCCGTCAGCCGCATACAGTCCCCCCTAAAGTATGCCCCCGCAGAGCCGAAGGTCCCCCTTCCTGCCTGCCCCACCCCCTCCAAGCGGAACAGCCCTCTCAACTCTCACCCTGGTGACATCAGCCCCCCTTGTCCTCGCTCCCCAACCGCCATAGCTGATCCGACCCCGAAAATCAGCGTGGCCCAGAAAAGGACAAACCCTCAATACCGCCCCTACCCTCTCAAAAATCACACCACCCACCTTGTGTAACCCTCGCAGGGAGGGACTCCAACCCGAAAGGAAGTATTCCATTCAACACCTCCGACCCCGATCCCACAACATCATGGACTGTGGCTCAATTACGAAGTACAACAAGATAAGACCAATTACTTGAGTAATCACTATTAAAGATCAAAGCTGATTCTACTCTACCAATTTAGCAACTCACACCTTAAGCTCGAAAGGAAACTATTAAAGATTAAACGACTAACATCAGTGGATCAGTACCATTAGTTGACAATCGGTTTCTATCCCGTCGAGAGTAGTGGAGGGAGACTTGAAATCTTACGACAATTGTGCGGTTCCTATCCCGACAATTGCGGAAAACTGTCATTTGTGCATCAAGAGTAATCTTTTCGTATAGATAACAAAGATTTGCTCCCTTAATCTTTTCGAAGACGATTTTGTTTTCAGTTGCTACATGAGTCACCCTCACCAAGGAAGAGAAAGGGAAAGGAAAGTGAAAAAAAAGATTTGCTCCCTTATCGTTCCAGCTCCCACTGGCTCAGTTTCCCATTGTTTTGTGGCTCCGGCTTCATGTCCATTCTGCGGTTCCCTGTATCTAGGGTATGGTTCAAAATTTTGCATTCTCGCTGGGCTGCAGATGCCAGCAAAAGAACAAACTCTTACGCTCGTGCCGCCTTCCCCTCCCTCCCTCTCATTTGACTTGTAACTACCGTCTTCACCCGAATAGGACTCTCTGGACATTATAGCTGTATTTGTGGCAACTGTCAGTCTACATACAGGTATAATAATGACTGGGCATTCTATGTGGGCGAAGGTGGTAAAGTGTGCCTTCTCCAAAGCTGAGTCGTGGGTTCATGAGACATGTAACGAGCGTGAGGCTGAGGTGAGCCGAGGGAGAGGAGAGAGAGGGAGAGAGTGAGAGCACACACACACACTCACTCACTCGACACGACGGACTCGGACTGAGGATCGGACGCAGACACAGTGGCAAGGCACAAAGTCGAAGTCTTGGATTCCCGAATG